AAATGCACCCCATTCCCAGCTCCTGAGCAACTGCTGCTTGAGGAGAAGCCCCAGGAGCTCTTTGCTGCGACTGCCTCCTCACAGCAGCCTGGTGAAGGAGGAGCCACCATGCCCATTTTACAGATGAGCAAAGCTAGGCTCTGGAGTGAGCTGCTGAAGGGTGCACAACAAGGGAGGGAAGGATTTGAACCCAGGTCTCTCTGACCTCCAGATGTGCTCTTAGCCCACAGCCCTACTCAGGCAGCCAGGCTCATTTATTTCTCACAATCAGTACACTTTCAGGTGAGGAGACCTGAGGGACCCCCTTCCCTCCCACCCTTACCCTTTACCCCTTGTCCCCAGAGGTTAGCCACCTGCCCTGGGCCCTGGTTAAAGCAGTGGAAATGATGAGCAGGGAGCCCACCCAAGCAGCTGAGGGATGCTGGGCAGCACAATGGTTCCCCTTTATCTCCCTTCCTGGGACCCAAGAGCTGTTGGAATCAGAGGGGGAAAGATAGGTGAGAAACAAGTCCTGGATCGGGCTGATGCAGGACTTGACCTTGGCAATCTCCTAGCTGTGTGACTTGGAAAAGAGCCTCCCCTCCCTAGACCTCCACAGCTCAGTCTATAAAATGGGAGGACAGTAGGCCTACAATGCAGGGTGGCTGAGGAGTTCAGTCTGGTCGTGTGAGCAAGCTTGGCCAAGCACCCTGCACAGGATAAGCACTTAGGAAATAGCTCAGGTTCACATAATCTCCCAGGGTCCTTTAACAAAGTTCCAGGAAAGAGGACAGAGTTGCCAGTCCTGCCTCTGGGCAGCAGGATACAAAAGAAAAGGGGCTTCTGTCTGTACTTGGATGTGACCACTTGTTGGGCTCAGGGTGGGCCGGGAAGGGGACGCAGGGCTCCGCTTTCAGAAGCCTGGGGCTACCTCACCTACCAGAACAGGTCATTAGGGACAGAGGGGCAGAGGCAGATGGGGAGCTGTCCACTAGGCATTGCGGATGGGTGGCCAGTCTCAGTGCTTCCCTCCTGGTAACTCAGGCAGCTGGGGGAGATTGCCCACCTGGAGAGGCAGGAGGCTGCTGTCTGTCATACACAGGGAAAAGACATCTTCCTCCAGCCTCTGCCCTCCCCAAACGCCTTCCTGCCAGCATTAGAGAGGTCACCTCCCAGGGGCTCCTCACACCATCAGGTCCAAACTCTGGCACAGCTCAAGTGCTCAAGTCACTGTAGCCAATCGTCACCCATCTGCCAGGTGTCAGATCCACCTTGACATGAGTCCTGGCCTGTCTCTTAATTCATGAACACATGACTGGCCACAGTTTCTTCATCTGTCACCTGGGTGTGATGAGAACAGCTGATTCATAGGGCTGCTGTAAAAATTCAATGAGATCAGCCCAGCACCCCATAAATGCTGAGAAGTAGAAGTTGCTATTATTATTATTCACTCAACAAATATCTGTGCCATGTGGGGATTAAGGGTTAAAGAGATAGGCACCATCCTTGAGCACTTAGAAGGAGGCACTGAGGGGGAATCCAATTCTGATGTGATCAGCATCACTTGGAGCTAAATTCAGGTTCTCAGGCCCAGAGTCTGGGAGGGCCCTGAAGTCTGTTGTTTGAGCTCCCCACCCCTGGATGATTCTGAGGCAGGTGGTCCTGGGGGCACCTTTTGAGGAACCCTAGTCTTGGGCTTTCTCAGCCCTAGGAAAGCTGGCCCCTCATGGCCCTTCCCACCAGAAAAGGGCTTTAAAAGCCCCACACACCCTGGTGCTTTCTCCTACTCAAGATACAAAGCCTGCAGACCTCATCCCTTCCACTCAGGGGCAGAAGGAGGCCATGAGGGCTGAAAGGTTGAGCTCCAAGGTGGGGGGAGGGGGGGTGGATAAAACAGTTAAACCAACTTTTCTATTGGAGGACTTCTCAGCACTGTCATTGTCAGTCTCCAGGAGGGGCAATACAGGATGCCTAGTTTCCTGTAATTATTTGACCAGGGAACATTTTTTTCCCTCCCATTTGTGGATGACCAGGTTAAGCAGAGTTCTTTAGGGTATTCTCTAGAGAGAAATTAAGTCACAGATCTCTATACAGCATGAGGCATTCTCCATCTCTTTGAACATAAGACCCCTTTCTTGATGGAGCAAAGCACATGAAACACTAAGGGAATCAGTAAGCAAATCTGTTCTTTGGCAATGAAACTGCGAAGAAAAGCACCAATGGCCGCACCTATCTTCAAAGGCAATAGTTATGTTTTTGGAGAATGAATCAATGACTGATCAGTGGCTGGCAAACTTCTGTAAAGGGCTAGGCACTCAATTTTTTTGGCTTTGTGAGCCGTCTCTGTTGTAATGACTCAGCTCTGCTACTGCAGTGTGAAAGCAACCACAGATGATATGTAAACAAGTAAGTGTGGGTCTGTGCCAATAAAACTTTATTTCTAGACACTGAGATTGAATTTTATATAATTTTCACATGTCATGACATATTACCCATTGCCTTTTGATCCCCCCCAATCATTTAAGAATGTAAAAATCATCCTTAGCTCAGGGGGCGTACAAAAATAGGTGGTGGCCTTAGTTGGTGGCCTGTTTTGGACACCAGATCCTATAACCGAATAGTTTACATCTTAGATGAGGCCCTTCCGAGGAAAAGGAAAGAAAATTCACCCTCTTCATCTGTAGAATGACTTCAATAAGGAACTTCAGGGGAATGGGGAAAATAATTACACTGATGGGTTGTGGGTTTCCCTCATCCTCTAGATCCCATTAGTTTCTAAGACTTGTCGATAATGTCTCCAAAATAGATCCTAAGGCTGGGCACTTCTTTCCATCTTTATCAACACCGTGCAAGTCTGAGCTGCCATCATCTCTTGCCGGGACCCCTGCCACAGCCTTGTCACTGGCTCCTGGCTTCACTCTTACCTCTATAATGTATAAGATCCTTTGAAAACACAAACACTATTTAAAAGGCTCCAAGGCTCCGCATCACAGAGAATAAATAAAGTCCAGAGTCCTTCCCATGACCTAGAGCATCCTGTGGGATCTGGCCCCTCCAGTTCCTGCCTTTCTCACTCTGGATGTTCTAGCCACAACATCTCTCACTCCTAAAATGCTCCAGGCCTCCTCCAGCCTTAAAACTTTTGCACCAGCTCTTCTAGCTATAGGCATACTCTCCTCACCTCCACCTCTACCCTCCATCACTGGCTCCTTCTTATCATTCAGGTCCCAGCTCATTTGTCACCTTCTTGGATTTTGAGTGCCCCTCCTCCCAGCACTCTGGAACACATACTCCTGGTTTTTTTCTTCCTAGCCCTGTATTTCCTTGTTTGTTTATTTTCTTACTCATAATTCTTCTTCCCTCCATGACCCCAAGGCCAAGAAGAGTATGCACTCTGTGGTTGCTATCTGCAGGCTATGTCCCTGGGATGCTGCCTGGCCCATTCTCTGTCCTCAGCTCCAAGATGCTAAGGGGTGTATGAAGAGGGGAGGGTTCAGAGATACCTTTCTCATGATATCCACACCGCCAGCTTACCCAGCTGGCTCCTGGAAAGTTTGGGGTTGAGTGGGGGTCTGGGGCCCAGGGACAATTTTTCTTTCTGGTTACTTTCCTAAAGCCAGAGAAGGGCCTTAAGAGAGTGACACTTTCCCACTAGACACTGGAGTCCTGGATTCCAGCTCCTGAGATCCCTGTCACCAGCCACATGGCCCAGCCAGAAAGTCAACCTTTCAAGCCACTAGGCTCTCACCCCATTCAAAATGATAAAAATAAATGTAAACGGTATAATTCCGAGGGCTGAACAGGAAGTGATAATCATTATAACAGTAGTAGCTAACATAGTTTGAGCAATTACTATGTATCTGATGCCCAACTTGTATTCTCTTATGAAATCCATAGCACAGTAACACGAGATTAAAATCATTACCAATGATCACTACCCGCCAGCTTAGACTGAAGGAAACTGAAGCCCAGAGAAGTTAAGTATCTTTCCCAAACACACAAAGCTAGAAAGCAATTGATTGTTTCAAAGACAAGCAAACCAAGCCAGTGTTCCTACCCTAGTCAACTGACTCTCTGAGCTTGAGCCCTTTAAATGTAAAAGTTATGGGAGATGGGGGACAGTCAGTAAGACTAGACAATTGGAATAATCTTTCTGCTCAAAATTCCCCTAACACCTGGTGATCTTTCTGGCAATTTGGTTATTTCTAGATTTTTACTGAAAATTTTCTAACTTTCAAGGGGTCCTGTGCCTAGGAAAATTCCCAGCAGAAGTGAACCCCCTGCCCCAGCCTTATCTTAGATGGTTGGGGGAAAGCTTTGGGAGAGCCTGA